CATTACGTGTGATATGTCTTGGGATCAGTTGATGTGATGTCTGCGGCCACCGACACGATGGTAACCATAACAACAACACCGGCAGACACTCATGAGTGCAATAAAGTGCCAAAATTGCCGCCAAATGGGAGACAATCGTTGGCCACCAGCGGCGGTAAACACCGATTGACAGCCACTTCGGGTTCACCGGCGAAGACATCGCTGCGAATCAGATCCGCGTCCGTCGGTATGGCATTCATTGTGATCGATACGAGTGGTTGTCTTGATTTACTCACGAGTTTTATGGCAGATATTGTCTGATTAGTCAATGAGTGGTTACGTGGATGACATGAATTGTGGTCACATTTTGTAATCTGTTTTTTGTAGCCATTGATTGTCATCCGAGTGTGGGATCCGTTTGAGTGACTCTTCAGTTGATTGTCTGTTACGAGTGTTTTGTGTGCAGAGAGAGAGAGAGAGCGAGAGATCAAGACTTACCACTTGTTATAGACTTTAGCATTGATTACACCACTAATCCTATGTCTGGTGCGGTGATGGACAGGGAGGTCGCGGGACGTGGAGCTGAGGTGCAGATACTGGGCCTTCCTATTCGATAACCTGAACCGCGCGGTGGACGAGATCTACCAGAACTGCGAGTCGGACGAGTCGGTGGTGGAGTGCAAGGAGACGCTCATGGTTTTGGACAACTATAGGCGCGAATTCACGGCACTCATAGAGTGGCTGAACCTCAAGAGCGACTACGAGTCCACACCGCAGAGGGACAGACCCTCGTCACTGGCCTGGGAGGTCAGGACCTCCATGACCTCCAATCAGATGATCTATTGGAACAGGTTTTTCGGCAGGAATTGTGAGTTTTTTATTTGTCACGATTTTGATGATTTTGTGGTGATTTTTGTGATAATTTATGGTGTCTTTCGCAGCCGAAGTGACCACTAATAGCGTGAATACATCGCCGCAGAAGTCGTTGAATACGACCAATAAAACTAAGGATCAGATGAATGGCGGCGAAGAGAAGGAGAATAATTCGCCGGAACCGGTGGTCAACAAAGACACCAATGGATCAGTTGCTGACAATAATGTCAAACCGGTGGCGCCGTCCGTGAGAAGGATTGCCGAAGAGTCCGATGCAAAGCCTATTGTCTCGCCTAAGGCTACGATCAAGTCTTCGGTGTCCACTCCAACGCTCAATACAGTCACCACTTCCTCGACGTCGAAGCCATTGAAGTGAGTTTTGGGTGACTTTTAAGACAATATTTGTGTCATTAATGTGTGATTACTTTCCGGACAGTCCATTGGCTCAGACATTCAAATCTCGTTTACATCCGATGGCGCCGACCAGTACGACAGCGCCGGCACCTAAGGCCGTGTCCACCGCAGCACCGGCTGCTCAGCAGAAGCCCATACTCATAGTGCCGACTACTGCCGCCACCGCCGCCCCCACTGTTAAGAAGTCTACGTCACAGACAATAGTCTCTGAGAACAAGTCGGCGCCTAAACCGGTGTCCACTCAACAGACCACTGCCCTGAAGACCAGTTCCGCACCGATCACTACAACAAATCT